GATGGCCGCTTGCAAGCTTTTAAGACCCCAGCCACCACTCACCAAAGTAGGATGCAGAACATTTTCTTAATAAGCTTTGTTATGCCAATTGACCTTGAAAGCATTGTCCCCAGACCCCTACCCCTGCTACTGTGTCCCTCAAAGTGTTTGACTGTATTCAGGAAACTTCTTAGCTTTGGTTTAGTCCAGTTGTGCTGACTTCCCCTGTAGTGTGTGCATAAGCCATTACTTTTGATGTATAAAAGAAGCAGCTTAGGCACAAAAGCAAGCAAACAGGAATGGGGGAAAGACAGATGCCATGTGGAAATCTCCAAGGAATGCTGAGAAGAAAGGATTTTTCCCCAGACCAGATAGAGAGAAAGTCTTTTCCTAAAGGCAGTAATCCAAATTTGGACTTTCTAGCCTCCTAAACTGTTAGAAAATAAATTTCTGCTTGTTAAACCCACCCACCTGTGATAATTCTATTATAGTAGCACTAAGAAACTAAGCAGACACTGTGCTGGTAAACAGAAGAAGTAAAGGACTGTGCTCGTCCTCATGGAGCTTACAACTGAGGTACAGCAAGAAAATGCATTTGCTCGTAAGTAAGAGGACAATAGGAAATTGGAATATAGTCAGAATCTGTGGGTAAGGATCATGTAGTTAAGATTCAAAACAGGGAAGATAATAATGGACTGAGAAGTCAGGAAAGGCTTTATACAGGTCATATGACTCTGGTAGGTCCTTGGAGTGTGTGTAGGATATGCACTGGAAGAGAAAAGGAATTCTAAGCAAAGAGAATAAGTGTGACATGATAAGACTGATGATAAATGTGAAGGGGTGAAAATAAGTGCAATACATTCAGGGGATATTGGACAAATGGATGTTGTCAGAGTTGAAGATTCATTTTGGTGAGCAGCAGAAGATAAGTCCTCAGAACAGGGTGACAAAAGGCCTTTGTTCTGAGCTACAGAGTTTGGACTTAATTTCATAAACAGTAGAGAACTGTGCTGAGCAAATAATCTAAGGAGCTGGATTATATGAAGAAGAATGTGGCATCAGGATTGGAGGACAACTCATTAACAACCTGCGATATGCAGGTGACACAATCTTGCTTGCTGAAAGTGAAGAGGACTTGAAGCACTTACTGATGAAGATCAAAAACCACAACCTTCAGTATGGATTACACCTCCACATAAAGAAAACAAAAATCCTCACAACTGGACCAACAAGCAACATCATGATAAATGGAGAAAAGATTGAAGTTGTCAAGGATTTCATTTTACTTGGATCCACAATCAACGCCCATGGAAGCAGTAGTCAAGAAATCAAACAACATATTTCACTGGGCAAATCTTCTGCAAAAGAATTCTTTAAAGTGTTAAAAAGCAAAGATGTCACTTTGAGGACTAACGTGCTCCTGACCAAAGCCATGATATTTTCAACCACCTCATATGCATGTGAAAGCTAGACAATGAATAAGGAAGACTGAAGAAGAACTGATGCCTTTGAATTATGGTGTTGGTAAAGAATATTGAATAT